GATTTGGCCTCTGTCTCTTTAAAAACCTCCTACCATTTCAGACACTCCCATTTCGGCACATCATCACAACGTGCTGAAACGGGAGGGGAGGGGTGCTCTGTGGGGGAGCTCGGCTGTAGACCGAGTTCCAGGGAGGAGCTTTGTACAAATGGGCGGAGCGTTGTACCCAGCTCCACATGACTATCACAGGCGATCCAAGGATTTCCCAAACGTGCATGAATGAGTCAAATCAACACTCTGGGTATAATTTGTTTAGATTCCAGCATGATATCAAGCTCAAAAAAGTTGATTTTTTTTTTTAAATTAAAAATAATGTATTTACAATGCAGGCCTGGCACAGGCCAAAGACACTTGAGCAAAGCAAAAGGGCAAATACACAAAATAAACAATTTGAATGATAAACACACAACAGTATGTTAAAACACAACAGGTAGTTAGAAAAGTTAAACTAGAAAATCACTGATTTAATGTTGTCTAGTCTTGATCGTTCTACAAAACAAAAGCTAAACCAAAATTAGGTCCAAAAAAGCAACACTTTGCAGATGAAAGAAGTCTAACATTAGTTTTGACATCAGCTTTTATTTTCTGTGCATGCCAACCCAGCTTCCTGGAACAAGTTTTTACGTAATCTGATACTTGATTTGATTTGATTTAATGATTTAACAGGAAAAGATTAATAAAAATCTAGCCTGACTCAGCATAATTGCTGTTTTACAGCAGGTTCCTGTTCTGCAGCACATATTATATTATAAACATTTAAGATATTTAGAGTTGGGATGTTTTACATTGCTTTGCACCAAAGCACATTGGTTTATTTTATCATTTAAACAAAGCTGTGTGGTGCTGGTTTGATACAGAACAGACAAGCATCTGCACATCATTCATTTTATGTACATACTATATCGTGCAATCTGTAAATATTTCCTGTAGGACATGCATTCCTAAGAAGACATTCCTGACACAAACTTCTTCAATTTCTAAAATAAATCCTACTCTCCTCAAAGTCCTCCCTGGACTTAATCACAAATGTTCCAACAAAGAAGTCTTTACTTTCAAATAAGCATATTACTTCAAAATGTACTCACTGCTAATGACTGCCACACTGTACACCTTACAGTCAAAAATGCTCAGCAACTCTTTGACACAGTTATTAACTTCATAAAAACCAGTGCAGAACAGTGTTTCAAATAAATCGCCAATTACCATTAAAGTCTCAGTTARAACTAATTTAAATATTGCCAGTAATGTCCAGATTTCCTTACAAAAAACAATGTTTTCTAGCAAAATGATCTTTAATATACCATTATGGAATATATGGAATATTTAATATACCATTATGGAATATATGGAATATTTAATATACCATTATGGAATATATGGAATATTTAATAAACCATTATAGAATGAATACCATTATGTGATTAATATTCCAATGTAAACCATTTAAAATGAACATGACTAATACAGTGTACTACAGTAACACAAGCATGTAACACTGAGCTCAACAACGTGTCATGTTTGAAATAAGTCCACAGTAAAATCAACAAAAAGTTCCCAAATTTTTCAAAGTTCAATTATTAAGACTATTTTATTTCCTGCAAAACAGAAATGGATTATACATTTTGACTCCTTCAAAGCCTCTTGTTGTTAATTAAGAATCTTAAGTCCCCCCCAAAAAAGCTGCAGCTTTCCCTTCACATATTTATCCTGAGATTATATTAACTCTGGTTCACGTTGATGTGGACTATTTCTGCCCAGCGTATGGTCTTTTCTCTTCTCTAGAACATTATCAGATCTGTGTGTGTTTTCCAGTTCAAACAGGTCTTTAACCTTCACTTTTCCTGTGGGATCGCAGCAATGCTTCCAGGCAAACTGGGACTAAACACACACTAACCCACACAAACCCAAACACACACACACGCACAGATAKATTTGCATACACAGAGAGCAACATTCATTGTGAACAACTGCGTGGACATTTCTCAAAGCAGCAACACATGGTTCCCTTTAAAGGAAACAATATGTCTTGGACTGAATTCAGTCACTTGACGTTCATTCTGAAGAAATTGGATARTGTGTGTATTTATAGAGTCGGAGATCAGCCCTTCTGTCTGAACAGCAGAGAAAAGCATGAGAATATAAAGCTATTTTGACCTTATCGTGCAGATTTGTGTCTTCCTCTGTCAGAAAAAAAMCCTCTTAAAAATAAATGATACAATTCCTGTGCATGAAGTGAAACCCTCAGTATGTTCCAGTAGAATTGCTTTAAAGTGGAACAAAAGCAGGGAGAGGACAGATTACATTTATCAGCCTGTCAGAGGGATTATAGAACAGAAAAACACACCTTTGTTTTACTTTTGAGRTGTCTTTTTATTTAGATGCTCCTTTTTTGCTACTTTGTCATTTGTGTTTTTTTATATATAAATAATTTGATTAATTTCCTGTTCTCTAAAGCCTGCAGCATCCAAAACCCAATTGATTATTGCCATTTCCCAAATGAACAAAGGGTTAAACCGACACGATGAGTCTCTGAAGGCCCTGTCACACTAACATTTTAAACAACTTTTGCCAATAGGAAAGTTTGTCCAACACTAAAGATGTCTAAGCTAAAGATGGAATTAAAAAAAAACTAATTTTTGAAATACAAACAATTAGATTGGATTTGTAGCTGATATGAGTAAAATAGTCATAAAAAAGTTTCATAAGTCAGCATAAGTTTTCTGAAACTTTATAGTGTAGCGGGGCCTTAAGGAATTTTTTGCTTCATCACATTAATTCTAGAAAAGGATTACAGATTAACTTATAAATCTGAATAGAATACAATTGTTTTTTAATGTGTTTGAAATATAAAACATTTGATTTAAATCTGCCTGTCTGTTAGTGAAATWTCTCAACAGCTGCACTTTTGATTCTCAAAAAGTATTGTGTTTGTGTGTTTGTGTAATCCATGATAGCCACCACAGCCAGCCAACCTTAGAAAACACAAAATACGCCAGTAACTCAGCCAGGTTTCAGATATTAACTTAAAATTTGGTGTGGTAGTAGCTAAGCATAACTCACAATACATGCTTTCAGCACTACACTCTGTGCAATATTTTCACTTAAGACTTTGGCATCATTTACTCACATCAAACCTCTCTGTATAGGTTTTATTTGTTTGTTATCAAAATATTTCATAAACCACTGAACAGAAAATAATGAAACTTTCAGAAATAAAACATTTCCCACAATCATAATTGTACCTTCTTATGCACATCCCTGTTTTGTTTTTTTGTTTTTTTTGATAACTAATTGGACATAAATAGCTAAATAAAAGTCTAAATTAGGATAACTGAGTATTCAACCAAATTATTAGTGATGTCCTGCAGATACTGATAGAATAAAATGCACACAGACTCTGTATGCAGAAGAAGTTCTTACCGTTCAAACACAAGCAGCTTCTCAGCAGAACCATTGAGAACGAGTAATGACCAAATCCAGGCAGGAGGAGGAGGAGAAGTAATCCAAACTCTGACAGAAGTCTCACTCCCTTTAAGTCTGAGTGTTTATAAATCTGCTGAGAAAAAAAAAAGGCAAAAGGAAAGAAGTCAGGAGTGGAATCAGTGCTTAATCTTTATCCAGCTGCACCGTGAGTTGGGTGCAGGTTTCTCTGAGAACTGGGAYGCACAGAGATCAGAATACAGCTTAGTGGAAGATCAGGTTCTGATATGAGTTTGAACACACAGAAGACAAGTGGGCTGGACCTGAGCATGCAAGCGTGGTCGATCTTGATGCGTCTGARGTAGATTGGATTACATACAAATTAGATGCTTCATTGTGTTTGTGGTTGTTGGAACATTAGATTTGGGCTTTAAACATGAACATTTAAGATTTTATATTTCACGTCTATCATTCACACAAGTCAGAATATTATTTGATTGAAAATTAAACATTTTCAGTTGATTAAATTATAAAGTGGTTCTCATGACCACTTGGGTTATTAGTGTGTTGATACGAGAGGTTTATTTGCTGCTATTAGAATGTTTGCACACACCCAACAGTCACTCGCCACTTTATTAGACACGCGTGTTCAATTACTTGTTAACACAAATAGTTGGTCAGCCAATCACATGCAGCAGTATTTCAGAAACAGATGATTAGAGCTGCACAACATCGTCTGAGCATCGTCTGAGCATCGTCATCGCGGTGTACGTGTGGTAGGGAAAGCAGGCAAATTCAAACAACACGTGAACCATAAGTCGTTGCACGAAGAGGTCAGATTTTACCGCTTTACTTATGTAAACTGAAACCAAGCTCAACACAATGGTAAACTGTTGGGTTTGTTTGTTGGTAAAAGTCAATTCATGTTTGCACGTGATAGAAGAAAACGTGTACAAGTTCCAGCACAAGAGAGGCAACTAGACATGGGTTTTTACTATGTAAAAACAAGTGTGCATTGCCTTGTAGCATGCCATTGCCTGCTGCTTGAACTGTGACCAAGTTGAAACGTGTTTGCTGATCAAGTACCAGCTTGTGTCTGCCAAGTCAGCAGTTGTTTGTAATGAGGGTAATTGTGTGAGAATATGACAATTAGAAAATATGTAGCTGTAATGAAACATTTTGTTTATGGCTGGGATTGAACCCTGATCTCCTGCATTTTCATGCAGCCCATAGTGAACACTAGCCYATAGTGTTCACCATGAGACTATAGTAGCTGTCGCAGTAAGCTCTCCCAGTGTTAAGTTTGTATGATTGCTGAAAGAGGCCAAATTGCCAATGCAGTTGTTGACACTAAACTGCAATATATTACAACAATAAAGGAATATTAGGACAATATTATAGTGAAATATCAAAATACAATCATGTTTGTATTGTAAACACTKAACTACTGAGTTTAAATATTATTAAACTATGGTGCAGTACTGAGTAGATACAGCATGGGGCAGAATTGGACCAATGCAAGGCTCCATTGACTTCCATTATTTGATTTTAAACATTAATATTTCAAAAACTATAAGTGGTACAGGCACCAAAAGGCATAGCAATCATTTGGCACAGGAGTTTTACAGATATAAATTACAATGACATCTCTAGGACAAAGTATGCAGGAGGAGAAGTGTGCCAAAGTGAAGATGACTTGGATGGGAAACGAATCACAATAGTGTGCATTGCATTGGCAATGCACACTGATAAAAGAACAAGAATATCTCTGAAATACAGACAAACACACTTGTAATTAGGGCTGCCACAAATTATTATTTTTATGGTAGTTTATTCACTGATTATTTTTTTTCAATTAGTCAACTAATTGGATCAGACGTTAATTGAATATAAAACTTATAGCTTATCACGCCAGAATGCAGCTGCTATTATAGAACCATCGTTAGATTTTAGCTATATGCTAACTAAAGATAATAGCTGTGGAAAGCAAGTTCTGCCTTGCACATATGCATTGCACATGTTTCTCTTTCATTTTCTTAAAATGACCCCACACTTGTGAGCTCCATTGCCAGGTAGCCATGATACCAGAGCCTGTCTGCATAATGTCTTGTGACGTCCACGGTTATCACAGTCATCGACTATTTTAATCATCGATTAGTCGTCGACTAGTCAACTAATCATGGCAGCCCTACTTGTAATGCACAAAAAATAGGTGCGTGTGTGCAGGCTCATCTTCCACAAGATGACAGCAAAACTTAAAATGATATTCAAATCAGTTGTTGAAAATTCCTTGCAATAAATATATCGCAACAAAACAAATGTCATGTCAGGTACCAAACTTTTTCCAATATTGTGCAACCTTATGGCTGATTTTCATGTAGGGATGCACAGATATGAAAATTTCAGCCGATAAAGATATCCGATATAATTATTGCTGTTATGGCTGATAACCAATATTTACCGATATTACACAAACACACAAATATTATACATATACGCACAAACAYAAGTCTTTTTTTGATATGGTAAATAAACAACCAGACCTCTGACATGACTCTGCTTCAGTTATTCCTGACTATGCAGCATCAATATCACTATCATGATCAAACAGATGCTGCTCAACCAACCAGCTCCCCTTCCAAAACAGAAACACAAAGATAAAAAGTGGGAAATCAATATCGGACTTTAATATCGGCCCAGTTTTACATATCTGACCGATACGATATTCTAAAAAATGGCCAATATTGGCCGATACTGATATTAATGCCGATTTATCGTGCATCCCTATTTTTATGTGCAACCATCAAGGGTTTACAAAGACTCAAATCATGTCTTTCCAATTTCTTACTGGCCAATACTGGTGAACCAGTCCAAAAATGTACACAACAGTTTGCCTTCAGGCCCAGGCTGCCCTGCAAAAGACATCTGCAATCTCAATGGGATTTGCCTGCTTAAATAACGGTAAAACAGAAATAAAAAAAATAGCTTCAGTTTTCAGATTTTAGTCTACAGGAGTGTCCTCACTCTGTTCTGATACACAGCTGGAACTTCAACAAATCGTCTTCACCATCGCTAAACGCATGAATGCACCTAGTTGCCGCCATGCGATTGACGACCCATTCATTCAAATCAGGTGTGTTGGAGCAGAGAAACCACTAAAACAAGCAGGATCGATGCCTCCGAGGACCAAGGTTGGACACCATTGCCCTTTATACAAGTGTGGAGCGTGTTCACAATCATCTAAACTGCTCAAGTTTGCATTAAATTCTTTTCAGACTTTGAGTCCAACCCAACTAAACAGAAGACATGCACATCAAACAAYTGGATGACACTACTCTGTTGAGATTGAAAAGATAAAAACTTGTCTGACTGTGTAAAACAAAGAAGAGCTCAAATTACAGATGTTGCTTTGAGAGTTTAAAAGAGAAGAAGCCTGGGGGGGAAAAAAGCACACATGCCTCGCATTTAATAATCTCTGTACATGTAAGGTTTTTTTATATATATAAATATTTCACAAATTTCACACCACTTGCATAATATTTCACTCTGCTTTGTTTCCAAAAAAATAGAAAAAAAAAAAAGAAAAAAAAAGTCATGTCCTGCTGTGGTACTCGGCTGTAATTAGCTGCCTAATGATCCGCCTGATAAGAGTGTAAAGAAATTACATTTTGTTTCAACATCTCATTGCAGGCACATTTGTACAAAATTCAGAGTATTGGAAAAAAATACTTTTGAATTTTTTTTCACTAAACAGTCACATGAAACTTGACAATTTCAGAATTATCACAAAGTGAAAAAGACCAGGAAAAAAAAAACAGAAGAAACAGAAAATCGTAATTAGTATAGAACCCAAAACGACAGCAGTGTCTTTCATACTTTACCTCAGATGATGATTTTAGCTCTCGAACGCTCGATTCTGTTTTCCCACAAACCAATTCTTAATTCTCTTTATTMTGTCAGCAAACAGGAGCAAAGAAACCAGAAGCCACACAGGAGAAATGTGCTGCTGACAATCCTTCCTACAGATTTACCCTAAACTTTTCATTTATTTCACAGCTGACACATAGAGCCTCTTCACGTCATTACCCAGAAGCCCCTGCTGCGTATCCCTGACATGCGAGCTCACGGAGAGAACCGGGTCGGCTCATTAACGACCTGCAGCCTGAAATATGTTTTATGTTTTCATGCTGAAATTCACACAACAGCCAAATTGAGACCAAATCAATTTGTCTCCATTAAAATCTTGTACAGCCACACACACACACACACACACACACACACACACACACACACACACACACAATCCTGTTCACTCTCCACTTGGTTCGAGCTGCCTTAGCTTTCAGCCAATATGAGAAGAAATTTCAGTGACTGTAATTCTGAAAAAAAAGGGGGGGATTCAGGGATTATCTGGGGTAAGAAATAACAGAAGGAAGATTGAAGCTGACAAATTAATGTCAAATACTCTTTTGTGTGGATGTGAGAACACACATGTTCTACTTGGGAATGAAATAAATGAAAAGTTATTCAAGTTTCAGAGATTAACAAACATTACCTGGTGATGAAGGCAAAAAAATCACATGTGCTTGCCTGTGTTTTTGTGTGTGTTCATAAACTCTCATTAAGCTAGACAAATTTTAAGGAAAGTGTCCTGGATGTACAGCTACAACTAATGCACCACAACTCTTGATGGTTATCACAGGTAATTGACAGTAGCTTACATAAAAAAGTTTGTACCTGGGTCAATTTTTGTGAGTGAGTGGACCGTTTTATTATTGTATTAAAAAAATGTCCAACCAAGGACTGGGTTTGCAAATTAGCCATGTGGCAAGAAAACCTTTGTTCAAAATAATTGTTGCTTTGTTTTTTACTGTGCTGTCCTTGATTAAATAAACTTTAATGAAAATCCTCTAAAGGGTGTCCTAAGATGCTCCCAGGATGGGAAAGATCCATCAGAGTTCTGGGTCTGCTGCTGGGATTCCTCTAAATGAGAAGTGACTGGAAAACTTTAAAAACTGAGGGAGATATCTGATGCCTGAAACACCRCCTTAAAGAGGGAGCCCATTTCAGCCACTCTTTCCATCATAATCCACATCACATGACCATGAGTTGGGATTGGAATGTAGATGGACCAGT